AAAATGAAAGAGAAGCAAGGGCTCCTGAGAGCCAAGCGCCCATCTCCTCCTTAGAAGAGAGAAGCGGAGGAGGAGGAGGGTGGGGGGCTTGGTTCAATTATGCTACTTTTTGCTGCTGCTCCGGGTGTGTGGCTGCGCCGTTGGCACTATTTTTAACCCCCAGCCCCTGGTCCCCAAACAGGACAGCGTTTCCCGGGCACGGTGACATCCGTCTTGCATCCCTGCTTGCAAACTTCTGACCCCTCTCTCTGGATCACTTCAGCCAAGGATATGCACGAGCGAGGTCCTCTGTGGCACCCCACGTTTGGCCTGCCAGGGGACACCAAGGTGAAGCCACGTGTGCCCACTCCACATGGAGCCCTGGACGTCTCCGTGAGAGACAGAGCCGTCTCTGCTCCGCGACATGTGCATCGCCCACCTGGCATGCGCCCATCCCTGGGAGGAGAGGAGAACCCACAGACGTGCTCACCGTGCCAGGACGAGACGCAGACTGAACGCACCAGTCACCTCACCTTACGCTGCCCACCCTCACGCTGAGCGAGACGGGCATCACCGTCTCCAGATAACGAAAATCCAGGCCCAAAGTCACACAGAGTGGTCAATGCCAAAAACCCAGCCCCCCCCCCCGACCCCGCATCCCCCTGCCAGGTCATGCTGGCCTTTCCCCACCCCCAGGAGGCACAGAAGTCCCCCAAGCACCTTTGCGGCCGTGAGAGCGAGAGGTGAGATTTGCTCCCACTCCAGTCACCTCACTGTCAGCATCCCCCCCCCAACATCACCCGTCCTTGCTTCACCTTGAACAGCAGGGGCTGAATAAGAAGGGTTTGGGGGAGACGCAACTCTGATCACTTCACAGAGGGAAGGGGGGCACCCAGGACAGACCCCAGACCCAAAGGTGCCCTGCCCACCTCCCAGGTCCTTACTCAGCACTTCAGGTTCTCCCAGCCACCTCCTTTTAGGCTAATGCCTGTCCTGTGGGGGAGGGGTGTTTGTCAGGCAGGGTTGGGTCCTGGTGGGGCCATGGTAGGTGGCAGGGATGCTGGGTCCCCAGGAGGAAGGAGGGAGGCCATCTCCTTCATGAACTCCTACACATAAAGAAGAGAGTCTGGGGAGAGGGAACTGCTACGCTTGTTCTTTTGCTCTCCCACCCCCAGTGCTGAGATGTGTCCCAGCAGAGATGCAGCGATGCCCATATATTCCTGGATGAGCCCCCTGGTGGGGGAGGGGTATTCCCGGCTAAGACACCACCGAGGGAGGGCTCCTTTTAAGCTAATGAGGGTCAAAAGAGGGCAGAGCAGAGGGGTCTGTCTTGGGTTCTTTTCCATATCCAGGCTGCAAAAGCTTGCAGGGGAAAGAGAAATGATATAAAGAGGAAGGAAGGTGGAGATTGGCGACCAGGTTCATTCCTGTGATGGTCAGGGGATCCAATGCTCCACTAAAGCTCCTCTAAGAAATCCAGGGGACACCAGGCCCACTGGTTTCTTCATCACTAAAAGCTAACACACACACAGCCTGTTACCAACCAGGCACTTTTTAAAACATTTTATATACTAACTCCGCTAATCCTCAAAAAGCTAAATGAGGTAGGCATTATCATCCCTACAGATATGGCAAGGGGGGAGTTAAATCACGTGTTCCGCTTCATACAAACAGCAAGGGGAAGAGGTGGGATTCGAACCCAGGCAGCCTGCCTCAAAAGACAACAAGACATCCAGCTCCTGACCACACTAGTATACCACCTGCTACGGGGATGCCACCTTGTTCTGTCACCAAGCTGCGCTCCCCAGGACCAAGTTTCAGCCCTCCCTCCTGTTACAGCTCATGGACTGTCTACTGTAGGATCACTGCTTCCTCCACCAAGGAGGCCAGGGCTACAGGGGAGGATGGTCAGACATGCATGGTGGCCCCTGGGCTCTGGGTGTGGGGAAGGGTGGCCCGTCCCACTCACCATGGGCTGGAACCTGCACTTGTGGGTGAAAGCGCCTTGCTCAGCCCCACACATAGTCTGGACAGCTGGACCCTCAGATCCAGGCCTTGAGGCTGGATGAGGAGGACACAGCTGTTGGGCATCTCTGAGGTGGGTCCCAGCTGCCAGGGCAGTAGAGAAAGGCCATGGTGAATCCTGCCAACTCCCGCCACTGCCCGCAGCGACAGTTCTTTCCCAGCATGGATCACTGGTGGAAGAGCCTTGTCACTGGCTCAACTAGGAGCTAACTCGCCGCAGCCTGCACACCAGGGGCTCCTGCAGAACCTGTGTCCACCGGCTGGACCTGCCAGCCCAAGGGGTCAGCATGGGCAGCAGCCAACCCCCTTCCTTTCCCCATTTCCAGCCCCCCAAACTGGGCTGTGCAGCGGCAGCACTAAGGAAACACAGGATGTCCTGAGCAGCCAGCTGAGCCCCCCGCCCCCCACCCCAACCTCCCGCTGACCCCAGAGGCGGGGCGGGCCGGGGCAGAGGGCCGGAGTTTGAGTATTAACAACTGGAAAAGTATGAAGACCATCCCTGCCAGTTCCCAGCTCCCAGGGAAGGGGCAGTGGCAGACAGAGACAAGGACAGGGGTGGACAGGGGAGCGCTGGGGCAAGAGGGAGTAACAGACTGGCAGGGGAACAAGGAGAGAGGGAGAATTAGACACCACGGGACACAGCAACAGAAAGAGAGACAGAGTTAGAGAGAAATTCCAAGTCAAAAATACACATCACTCACGCAGACACTCGCCAGCACTCGGCCTCCTAAGGAAAGCGTCCAAGTCTGGACAGAAAGGCCAAGGTGGGAAAAGGGGCCAGACGCACGGTGGGAGGCAGGGACTCAGTTGTCCCCAGGAAAATCATCCTCAGCAGGGCAGTGGGAGTCCCCTGTTAGCTTTCAGGGGACGGGTGAGAGCCGCTCCCTGGAAGCCAGCTCTCCCCCATACAACGCCCCCACCCCCACCCCTGCAGCCAGGACAATCCCAGCTGCTAGAAGTCACTGGACACTGCTTCAGGCCCATGACTCGGCCCTCTGAAACCCCCCTACACCCCCTGTCTTTGCTCTTGTTTCTCTTGTCCCTCCAAAAGAAAAAAAAGCGCCCACTCTCACAAAGGGCTGATGCCAGAAGGAGACAGGAGGAAGCTTGGAGGGAGGCTGTCACCGAGGCATGGAGGTGTGCCCGACTGCGCTGGCAGCAAGTGTGCACCTGGGGCTGTCTGACACACTGTCCACGTGGACCTGTGACAGCATGGCCCGAGCCTTGTGAATGTGCGGTGCACCTGAGTCCATGGGCTTGCGTGCCAACGAGTGCACCTGTGTCCGCACTGCCCACAGTCAATCAATGAACAAGTATTTACAGAGCAGCCCCTATGCTAGTCTCTGGGTGGGATCCAGAGCTGTCTAAGCGATTCTCCCAGGTCTTAAGGAGTCGGCTTCCCAGTAGGGTGATTTGACAAGCCAGAATGACCAAGAGCGAGTGCGCTATCAGGAATGCATGCTTTGTATCGTGATGCATGAAAAATCTCTTCACACACACACATTCCATTTACTCAGGAGCAGCGGTTTTGCTGTCGACAGAACCTCCGAGTTCCACTGTAAGAATCCAAGAAAATACTTGTTGCTAAGTTGTGTACACATGTGTTGATGTGTAACTGTGCTTGCATTTGACAGAGTGACAGTGACTGTCACGCCAGGGGATGATGCCTGCGTGACTGTGCTCATGCAAGCACGTGTGTGCCTGTGAGTGACAGGGTCTTTTGTAACGGTGTGGCTGTGTGCAATTGCTCCGTGTGCATGCATGCATGCCATAGTGACTTTTTCTGTGTGGGTGACAGCAACTCCCCCTCGCCCATGTGGGTGACAGCATCTCTGTGTTACCCTGCGTGTGGGCATGTGCATGGGTCCGTCTGCCTGCTGCTGGTCTCCCGTGGGTGTGTTCTGCCCCTCTGGGCTCCCACAGTGCAGCGGCAGCCTGCCTCTTTCCTTGTCCCATGTGGGTGTGTCCAGCAGCTCCTGTCCTTGAGTCCGCCTGGGTGTCCCTGGGTGTGCATGTGGCTGTTCTGTGTGGGCATATCTCTGTGTCTGTATGTCACCTTTGCTTCTCCCCTCATCTTGGACAACAGCCCCCTTCATCCCCTCCCCCTTCTGGGGCCGGAGCCAGCATGGAGGGGCAGGCTCCCATCTCACTGGCTTTCCTTCTGTTTCTATCCCCCCAACCCCCCACCCAGCCGGCAGCTCTCTCCCCGTTGCCTCCGCCATCCCCCCACCCCCAGGCCTTTCTTTCACACTGGACAAGGGAGGGCCCTAGACCGAGAAGGGGCACCAGAGACACGTTGCAAGGGGAGGGAGACAAGGGGGGGTGCACAACAGAGATCCGTTTCTCCCTCTCTTTCTCAGCCCCGCCAGCCAGCACGGGCCCCCACTGCGCCCCCAAACCCCCACTCCCCACCCCCACCCCCCCAGCCGCGTTTTTGCAATTAGGAGTGTTGCAACCAGAGAGCCATGCTTAATTGGGGAGAGGGTGAGGGGAGGAGGGACTTCTGTCTCTCTCTCCCCTGGCCGGTGCAAGCCCACCCCTCCCCACTGCACTCCCACTGCCCTCCGCAGCCGCTCGGCCTCCGAGGCTGGGGTGGGGGCTGGGGGGGGGCAGGCCTCCGGAGCACCGTAAACAAACCGCGGCGCGGCGGGCGGGGGAGCTCGGGCGGCCGGCAGCGGGGCCCGGCCTGGGAACGCGCAGCAGACCGGCCGGACTGAGGCCGGGCGGGCCCTCGAGGGGGAGGCCCAGACGCCATCTCCGCCAGCGAACCCCAGGGCCCACCGACCTCCCAGCAACACCTCCCTTCCCTGGGGCGTCAGTTGCAAGCTCCCGGTCTGTGACAGGGTCACCTGGGCGCCGCGGAAGGCTGAGGCTGGCAGCGGGCACCCCCTGGGCGCCCCCAGCCCGCCCAGGAGCCGGCCGTAGGGACCCGCGGCTTTGCATAATCAATCGCGAGGCATTTGCATATTAATGCCCCCTCGCTCCCTCCTCCTTACCTCGGCGTGGCGCGCTGGACCGGGCTGGGCAGCGGCGCGGGGGTCTCAGCGCCCCGTGCCGGGGGCGTCCATGGGGGGCCGGTGGGGCCCGGGCCGCCCGCCTCCAGCGCCCGGGTGTGAGTGCGAGTGAGCGCGGGGGGGCGGGGGGCGAGTGTGGCGGCCCCGCGGCTCCTCCGGCAGAGGCGGCGGCCGCTCTGGCTCCTCCCTCCCCCGCCCCGCTCCGGCTGGGGCTCGGGCTCGGCGCGCCCGGCCGGCTCACGGCTGCTCCCTGCAGGCCGCCTCGCCGCCGCCGGCGCCCGCCCCCCGCCCCACGCCGCGCCCCGGGACCACGGCCAGCGGCCCGGCAGCCCCTCGGCCGCCTCTGCCCCCGCCCCGCTCGGACTCCGGCAAGCGGCTCCGGCGGGAGCTGTACTTGGTGACATATTTGGAAAAGCTGTCACTTAAAAAAAAAAAAATAGCCTTTGCCTGCCGGGAGGATTGGGGGGTTTTCGAGGTTTGCACCGTGGGCAGGAGGAGGGAGCGTGGACGAGCCACCTGCACCGCGTTAACGGGGCGGAGAGTCTGCCTGCCAAGTGCTCGGTCGAGTGGAGTTTGTTTGGGAGTTCGGGTCCCTTCTCCGCCGGTAACTCCCTGCGTGACCTTGAGGAAATCCCCGCAGCCTGCCCGGCCAGAGCTTCCTCAAGCTCCAATTGCAAGGGCTGGGCAGGTGCTCCCGCAGGTCCTTTTACTTTCAGTCACGCCGTTTTTAATCCTCTGGGGGAGCACATTCCCCCTTACCCCTCTCATTCCTAACAGCCAAACCCGATCCACTGCCTCCTCTTCCAAACGCCACCCTTCTCCACGTCGGCTCTTTTATTCACTGACACCAGCCATTTCCCCAACAGTCTGCTCTCCCTGCTGAGCCCGGGGAGGGGGCGAGATTGGCTGTACCCTCTCCACTGCCAGCCCCACAAGAGCTGTGTTTCCTCCCATGCTTGCCTCACCTAAATCCAAGGGTACCAAGGCCACTCTGAGGAGGAGGGTGGGCTACACCCAAATGGACCCCCTTCCCCAAAAGAGGGATGGTCTCCTACCAGCCCCATCCCCCTGCATGCATGCGTACGTGTGCGCATGCACACACACACACACACACACCTGCACGCATGGACATAAAACCATGCAAGTGACGCCAGAGCCCCTTTCATCTCAGGATCTCCTAGTGCCAGGCAGAGGTCTAATTACCCCAGCACCCCCTCTTGCCCCACCGGTTCCCCCCCACACCGCTGTCATTAGCCCAGTTTTACCAGCGGGGGCCACAGCCTTCCCACGGCTCCCAGGGCGGGGCCCTGTCTCCGCACTGCTCTTGGGGAGCTGTGTGTGTGTGTGTGTGTGTGTGTGTGTGTATTAGGGAAGCTGCTCTGCTAATGGTTTATAACTGGGCAGAGTCATTTGTTCAGTGTGAGTTCTGACCAACCGTTGATCCACATTGGGCTGCCCTTGCTAATCCAAGTCTCACCACCCACCTCCTCAGTTTTGTTGGAGCCCCTAGTGCCAGGGGTTTAGGGAGTTTGCAATGCATGGGGGAGGGGAAGCTGCATCTTCTGGGGCCCCTGGGACTACAGGGAAGAAAAGGATACCTGGGAGGACACTCCTGGGGTGCAGCGTGAAGGGGTGGTGACGAAGGGTGTGCTTGGTAAAGGGAGCCTGCAGTGTACAGTGGGAAATCGAGGCTGCCGCCAGCAGAGTCAGCATGCAATAAGCAAGCCTGTGTTCAGTCTGGGCTTGCAATGGACATGCAACAGCTGCAGTGGCGGGGGAGGGGGAAGGAGGGAGGAGGCTGCAACATGCAGAGTCAGTGCAGTGTGCAGTGGGCGGTGCACTGAGGGTGGCTGTGTGCCAAGCGATGCCACCTCTTCCATGATCAGGTTTGACTGGGGAGCAAGGCTGCAGTGGGCGGTGCGCAGGGTCGGTGCTCTGGCCTAAACAGAGTAGGTTCTTGGAATTGGGCTGCTCCAGGTGTTAGGAGAGAATACTAGGGCATGAGGTAGACAGGTGATACTCTGCCTCCACCAGGCTGAACGAGGAGGCAACAGAGAGGTCCCAGCAATCTGGAGAGAAGAGGGAATGGAGCCCAGAGGGACACAGTGCTGTGGTCTTTGTCTCCCCTCCTTCCTGGCTTTCTCCACTGCTTCTCTCTTTGATGCAAGGCCCTAAAATTATTGAGTGGGGGGGGGGACCTTCTGAAATGGTAGACCCAGAGCCATAGGCAACACAGGGCCTCCCACTGCCCAGGGCACAGGAGGACATCTCTAACTCAAAGTAAGCTGCTGCTTCCGTCTCTCCCTCTCCTGGACTCCCAGTACGGGCTGGCGACAGACTTGGGCAAAGGCAAAGTGGAGGCCAAGCTGCTTTCATAGCACCCCTCTCACCAGATGCCAGGATGCAACCCGGGCCTGGGCCAGCAGCCCCCGTCCCTGTTGCAGCACCCTTCCCCCACCCGCACCCCTGCCCGCCTGGGCCGAGGAGTGTCCGGTTTTCAGATTCAGTGCATCCTCAGCCCCTGCTCTTCCCTGCTTCCTAGCAAGTCCCCATCTGAGCTCTCACCTCCTACCCCCCTCCCCGCCTCGGTGGGGCCAGTGGGAGGGTGGCCACGAGTGAGGCTGGATAGAGACTCTAGGAGGGGATATGTCTGACCATCCCCTCCAGCTTCGATTTCGGTTGCCAAGGAGGCAGCAGGAACAGCCTGTTCTCTGGGCTCCCATCAGAGCAGCCATGCCCAGGCCCCTCCCTCTCTCCTCCTCACCCTCCCTTCCTTCCAGTCTGTTGCTAGGAAGCACCCCAAGGTTTCTTGTGGGCCCCACTCCCAGGAACCAGGGGATCCAAACATCTTTCCAAGGAGCCAAAAAGCCTGTCGGCTAAGGTGCCACACAGCATCCTCCACCTCTGCTGAAAAGACAAAGACTTGTATTGTCCTAGTGGTCTGGGGGAACCAGACAGCCCCTCTGCCAGCCAACCCTGCTACAAGCTCTGTGGTGCAGGTCTCAGCACTTTCACTATCCCGGCTCATTTGGGCTTGCTGGGATCTGGGTGATGTCAGCAAGTCACCCGGTGTCCAGCGGACACCCCTTGGCTCTGCAGGCACAGCCCACTTACTGGGGGTGCTCTGGAAAAACAGCAGAGGAAACTGAGGCACTGGCTAAGGTATTTCTCCCCCTAAGTGATCGCCCAACCAAAAGAGACAGTGGAATCAGAGTGTGAGTTCGAGTCCCAGCTGCTCCACTTCCAAAGCCTCTCCCTGCTAATGGCCTGGGAAAGCAGCAGAAGATGGTCCAAGTCCTCAGGCCCCTGCCATCTATGTGGGAGGTCAGGATGGAATTCCAGGCTCCTGGCTTTAGCCTGGCCCCAGCCTTGAATGTCACAGCCATTGGGGGAGTGAACCAGTGGATGAAAGATGGATCTCTCTCTTTCTCTCTCATTCTTCCTTTCTTTTTTAAATTTTTTAAAAATGTTTTTATTTATTTATTTGTCAGGTAGCGTTACAGAGAGACACAGAGAAAGTCTTCCTTCTGTTGGTTCACTCCCCAAATGGCCACAACGGCCGGAGCTACACCGATCTGAAGCCAGGAGCCAGGTGCTTCCTCCTGGTCTCCCATGCAGGTGCAGGGGCCCAAGCACTTGGGCCATCCTCCACTGCCTTCCTGAGCTGGACTGGAAGAGGAGCTACCGGAACTAGAACCCGGCGCCCATATGGGATGCCGGTGCCGCAGGCAGAGGATTAACCAAGTGAGCCACGGCACCGGCCCCTCTTGTTCTTCCTTTCAAATAAACAAATAAACCTGAGAGAGAGAGAGAGAGAGAGAGAGAGAGAGAGAGAGAATGAGAGAGAGAGAGAGGAAATGGAGAAAAGAAAGTTGGGGGGATGGTTTATGGAAGTTGGAGCTCAAGGGGCTGGTAAAAAAAGACTGGGAGATTAGCACACACCTACCCTAACAAGAGAAAGTGGGTACTTTATTCCCCCCGTCAACCACCTTGGCCTCGCCAGGCACCCCAGTTATGGATCTCCAAAGAGGGATCCAGGAAAGGGACTAGGCCTGTCTGAGTCTTGCTTTTGGGTAGCTAAACCAAAAGTGGAAAAAAAGAAGCTGACACCTTCTCCAAGCTGTCTTTCAGGGTTTCTCCTACCTTTATCTTTATGTGTTCATTTGACATTTATTTTCTCTTAGCATTGGACATGTGCCAGGCATTAGGTCCTCCAAATGTTCTGAACTCCTGGTTTCATTTTCCAAAAGAGCCTCCCAACCCTGCCCTGCTTTTGCCATAGAGGAGAGGAAGGAGGGTGTAGGGAGAGGACGCCTCTGTCACTGTCAGAGTTTGGGGCCCACCAGCCTTCAGCCCTCTCCTTCAAATTAGAGGAGAGAATGGAACAGGCTGATGAAGAGTCAACGGCTCAGGCCCAGAGGCCTCCCTTCCCCGCCCTGCAGGGACCTCAGGATCTCAGCAGCTCTCTTTCCCCCAGCTCCAGGAGCGTGGAGGGCACAGGTGTCCTCCAGGGTGTCAGAGAGAAAACTACTCCACAGCTTGGTTCATATCCTGACTTCACTCTCCTGGGCCAGTGGGAAGACAGGGGCAGGGAACTTTGCAGGGTCCAGGGCTGTCCCTGAGCTGCAGCCACCAGGTAGGCCACTTGGCCTCTTCCCCATCATCTCTGCTCGTAGATAGAAAGAAAGTGTTTTGACTTGGGGTCTGGCAGGGTGAGGGAACCAGCTTGGAGCCAGCTGCGTGGGAGAGGAAGGCAATGGCTTTCAGTGCATCTCCCTGCTGCCCACAGCAGGGGCACTGAGGCTTCCAGAGGAGAATGTTCCGTGTTGGGAAGGGCAATGGCAGTGAACCTGCAGAGAGAAGAGAAACTGAGAGGGTCTCTGTCTTGTATGCTCACCAGCAATTTCCGTGTTTCTGGGGTTGGGGGTCTGGATTCTTGCCACTTTGCCTGATTTTCTTTCTTGGCTTAGATAAGAAATGTCCCCTTCCCCTGGATGCCCCAAATCCCTGTTCCCTACAGCTTCTTACCTCACCATGGCCTAGCTGCCCCCACCCCCAGATTTCTGAGATTTATTTTTGGGGCTGACACTGTGACGTAGTAAGTTAAACCTCCACCAGTGATGCTGGCATCTCACATGAGTGCTGGTTTGAGTCCCAGCTGCTCCACTTCTGATCCAGCTCCCTGCTAATGGCCT